CAGAATGTCCATGCATACCAACAATGTTCATCGTTCACTTCAAATAATGGTCAGGTGAAAGACGCTACCTAGTAACATCATATGAGAAGAAAAAAATGGGGAAGTTAACACAAGTCATAGTCGTGAGTAAATATAGGCCCCAGATTGCCAAGTTAATTGGAGACAGACCACATGGTCTAGATGTTTTCAAAGGTCGGGCTTCTTTCGCCGTATACAGACTGCATCCAAGTAGCGTTGGTTTCGATTTGTTCGTACCCGAACAAGTACGTAGAAACCTGTTCTACAGTCAACCAGGTGACTGCTGTCTAGCAGATATTTAGAAATCGAGGACCGTGGTATTCTATCTTCTTCCTTGAAAAGGTTATTAGGCAAGTGCTTAGTGGTCCTGGCTGCCAGTGGCCTTTGCGTACGGCCAACGTAATTGCATCCGCAAGTGCATGTAAATTCATAAACACAGTTTGGGGTGATATGCAATGGCAAGACATGCTTTGCCCGGCTTATTTGAAAGCTTTGAGTAGGACTGAGAAAGACGAATTCACTTGCATTGTACGTCTTTTCTATGGTGCAGCACAATTATTGCTTGCTGGTGTTCGAAATATTATAATCCTTAAAATTTAAGGATATAGTAACAGGATCTTCCGAAACTGACTGTTCTGTCAATTTTGCCCCTTAGAGAGTTGCTTTATTTTTAAATAAAACGTTCAAGATAGCCATGGTTAAATAGGGCTGCTTTGCTGCGAACTATGTCTGTAGCTAGGGTTTAATTGGAGCAAATATTCCTCACTTTGAAAAATCGTATTTACCGGATTTTATTTCTATTGTATTTGCATAAAACTTGTTAAGTGTACGTTTTGCTCTTTCCTGGTATTTTTATGTAAAACAGAGCGCCCAATTGAACCACCATGCCATCTGAACAGTCCAAAACAGCGCCCATGAGCGTTAAAGTTTTAAGACGAAAGGTTACTGACCCCACATACATCCGCGAGTATTTTAGTCATATATATGCAGAAGGACATTACCGACAAATACGTGGAACACTAGAATGACCATATCTGGCTCATTAGCCATCGTCAGCTAGCGATACCCAACTGCTACTGTGTATCCCCGATCTAATACCGGCAAGACTGCGAGCTCGTAGCTCAGTGGTTAGGACGTTTGCCTCCGACCGGAGAGATACGAGTTTGAAACTCGAGTGTCACAGCAATTTCAGCGGCAACACTGCAGTTGGGTATTACTAGCTGAGCCAGAAATGGACATTCTAGTGTCCCATGTCTTTGTCGGTAATGTCCTTCTGCCTATATTCTAGTCGTCTCGCGGTGGAGGCTCGAGTGACAGCTCTATTGGCAGCATGGATGGACGAGTGTGTTCTATAACAGATCGGCGTACGCGTATCTGCTACTAGTCGTGTATATAAAGGTCTTTTCTATACCAATGAAAGTTTGGTAAACGTTTCGCGCTCTGACAATGACAACGAGTGCCAAATACCCTGCACCACAGAGGGGTAAGACACGGATGCGAACTTCTTACTTACACCTCTGCAAGGTTGTCTACCAGACTTCACAGTGCTGGAAAAGTATAACCGACACTTACCATATGCTTGAAGGGTGAACTCCCGAGAAACTTTAGCCTCTCGGTAAGGGCAGGAAAATGTTGCCTGATTTGTTAGA